AAAAAAAAAAAAGATATATATTCAAACATATTGTTGAAGTATTAAGTTATTTCATAAAGGAAGCATTTTTTTGGCTGGTCATAGGGCTTGAACTCTGGGCCTGGGCACTGTCCCATCGTTACTCTCTACTTATTTTTTGTTTTCTGTTTTGGGTTTTTGCCGTGATGGAAATCAAACCCAGGGCTTCAGAAATGCTAGGCAAGCATTCTACCATTGAACTACACACTGTCACCCCATTTTTCTCTATGTCTGGCATATTTTTTATACAGTAAAATAATTATTCCTAAACTATGCCTTCTAATTTATTTTTATAGTAATAAATACAATTCAGCCTTACAGTCATAGGATAAACATTTAAAACAAGTTTTGATGACATTTATTCATACTGTCTTATTTTTTCTTCTTAACAGAGATATGACAGAAGTTGTACATATTAAAGATAGGAAGGAAGCAATTCATGAGTTAAAATACTCACCAGATGGAACTTACCTTGCGGTTGGCTGCAATGACAACTCAGTTGATATATATGGAGTTGCTCAGCGTTATAAAAAAATTGGCGAATGTGTTGGATCACTTAGTTTCATCACTCACTTGGACTGGTCCTCAGATAGTAGACATTTGCAGACAAATGATGGACATGGGAAAAGACATTTTTATAGGATGCCAGGTAAAATTTTTCAGCAAACTAAAACAATAGTATATAGTTTACAGATTTTAGTGCCTGTGCAATATTTTTTATTCACTAGAAATGAAATATAATATTAGATCATAGAAAGTTAAAGACAATCTGAACTACTATTTCAGGTATTGTGGCCTTTTCTGTAAGCCTTTATCATTATATTGTCATCCTTTGGTGTTTTTCCCCTTCTACTCCAGATTACTGAGGCATAAATAGCATATGAAAATTGTATGTATATTTAGCATATACAATGTAATGTTGTATATGCCTGCATTGTACATAATAAAATAATTACCACAATCAAGCTAATTAACAGATCCATCCTCTTACATAGTCACTGTTGTGTGTGTGCTGAAAACATGCCCTAGGATGGCCTAGAAATCACAGCTGTTCTCCTGCTCTACCTCCCAAGTGTTGGAATTAATAAGCATGCATTATCATACCCAACATTTTCTAATGTTTAAGATCTTCCTCTGTTAGAAATTTCAAGTATACCATATGGCAATTATGATAGTCAATGTGCTATACTGGGTCAGTCTGAATTCCTTTTACATAGCTGAAGCTTTATACCCTTCGACCAACATTTTGTATCCTGATCACTTTTCCCAGCCCCTAGAAGCCAGCTTCTGCATGCTTTCTTAGCACCAGCCTTGAGCAAGTAGCTAAGAGAAAACATTCAGGTTGTGAGTTCAAGGAAAGTTTAAAAACTTTATGAATACTAATAATATAGCTAACAAACTAAATTTTTTAAAAATAGTTCTCATTAAAGACTTACTTATTCATATGGTAGTACTGGGGTTTGAATTTAGAGTTTTGAAGTAGCTAGGCAGGTATTCTATCATTTGAGCCATGTGGTTAGCCCTTCTCAAAGATTTAAAACACTGATAATCACAAAAGAAAAGAATAAAATCAACCAGCAAAGTATTTCATTTACTATGATGTTTATTAAACTAGTCACTATCTTCTGAGAGCCTATTTAATAAGACATTTATTTTATCAGTGTATCTCCCCAAAATCTTTTTGTTAATAATCTAGGTACAAAGATTACTTAGTTCTAAATTCCTCTTATCAAATGCAAATGTATTCTTTTACGCTCACACTTCCATTTTTGTCTTTTTAAATTCTTATTTTTCTTAATTATTGTAGCTTAGATTTTCTTAATATCTGATTTTTTTTCTTATAACTTAGTCTGTATCTAATTTGTATCATGATTTGAATAAAATTCAGGTTTTTTTGTGATTTTCACTAGTATGCATAAGTTGTACAAGGTTTCATTGTGACATTTCCAGTTGTGACATTTCCATACATGCATATAATGTGTCTCATACTCATTCCTTCTGTCATTCTCCCTACTCTTTTCCTCATTTTATGAAACAATTTTAACAAGTTTCATTGTTCTATTTTCACACATGAAAAAAACTACTTATCCTTCCTTGTTCACCCTCTCCTAAGCAACATTGTCCCCCACCACCACCAACAAAGCATAACAAAGCTTATTTTACTTTCTTATCATTCTTTTGGACTTTTTAAAATGTGTGTTAATTGTAACAAGAAGTTTCAAAATTTATAAGCCTTTCATTTTCTACATGGGTGAACCTGCTAAGATGGCAATCACTTCAAATTTGTATGTCTTTGAATCAGTGTAATTTTATCAGTGGCCTTATAAAAATCACTTGCATTTTGTTTTCTCCTTACCCAAACTTATCTAAGCTATTTAAGTGTAATCTTCTTTGAGGCAGAAAATTATTTAAAATTTTCTTTTACTAAGTTCAGTACACTTTAAGCCTTAGTTTTAAAAAATTCAATGAAATCACTTTTTAACTTAAGTCTGATTTGTTTTTAGGGGGAAAGGAAGTAACAAGTAAAGAAGAAATAAAAGGTGTTCATTGGGCTTCATGGACATGTGTTTCAGGAATTGAAGTAAATGGAATTTGGCCCAAGTATTCAGATATTAATGATATAAATTCAGTAGATGGAAATTATATTGGCCAAGTGTTAGTTACAGCTGATGACTTTGGAATTGTGAAATTATTCCGATATCCATGCTATAAAAAAGGTACCTTTTGGGGGCTGGGAATGTAGTAGAGTGCTTGCCTTGCATGCATGAAGCCTTGGGTTTGATTCTTCAGTAACATATAAACAGAAAAGCCTGGAAGTTGTGCTGTGGTAGAGTGCTAGCCTTGAGCAAAAGAAGCTCAGGGACAGTGCCCAAGCACTGAGTTCAAGCCCCAAGACTGGAAAAAAAAAAAAGATATCTCTTCTTTCAAAATAGTTTATCTTCTCTCTTATAAAAAGACTTTTATGATCTTGCAGAAAGTAAGCCTTTGAATAAGGTAATTTCATATTTTAAATAGGTATTGAGGTAAAGAATTCTAAGCATTGGTGGCTCTCACCTGTAATACTAGCTACTCAGGAGGCTGATACCTGAGGATCGAAGTTTGAAGCCAGCTTTTGCAGAAAAGTCCCTGTAAGCCTCTTATCTCCAGTTAACCACTCAAAAACCAGAAGTAGAGCTGTGGCTCAAAGTGGTCGAGTACTAACCCTGAGCAAAAGAGCTCAGGGACAGTACCCAGGCCTTGAGTTCAAGCCCCAAACTGCCAAAAAAATTATTTTGCTAATTCAAAATCTGTCACATTATTTATCTTTTTTGGATATGAAATTCTTATTAGATTATTTTAATTCATATAATGATTAGGCTTCTTTTTCTTTTTTTCTTTTCCTTTTTGGTCAGTCGTTATGCTTGAACTTTGGACCTGGGAGTCGTTATGCTTGAACTTTGGACCTGGGCACTGTCCCTGAGCTCTTCAGCTCAAAGCAAACACGCTAGCACTTGAGCTACAGTGCCACTTCTGATTTTCGGGTGGTTAATTGGAGATAAGATTCTTACAGCCTTTCTTGCTGGGGCTGGCTTTGAACCATGATTCTCAGATCTCAGCCTCCTGAATAGCTAGGATTAGAATCATGAACCACCTATACCTGGCTTAGACTTCTTTTTAATGAAACATTTTCCTCCATACTTCCTGAAAATTTTCATATCATCAAACTATGTAAAAATGATTAAACTTTTCTTATGATGTATTACGTGAAACTATTTAGCTTGCTGAATTTAGGCCTTTTGGGAGATATTTTTCTCAGGTCTTTTCCTTTAAGAATTCTAAGGATGTAATAAAAGTATATAAACATAGGTCACAGTTTGAAACATTATTGGTTTGCTGGCTGGTTTTTATATGTGACTGTGTTTTTGCCTAAATTCTTAGTACATACGGTTATGATATTTCTTAATTTTCAGCAATAGTAAGATGTAGAAATAGTGGGCTTTATCATTGGTTATTTTCTTTTCTTTTTTTTTTTTTTTGGGTCCAGTCCTGGGGACTGAATTCTGGGCCTGGGCGCTGTCCCTCAGCTCTTCAGCTCAAGGCTAGTGCTCTACCACTTGAGCCACAGCGCCACTTCCGGCTTTTTTCTTTTTGCTTATGTGGTGCTGAAGAATCGAACCCAGAGCCTCATGCATGCAAGGCAAGCGCTCTACCACTGAGCCACCTTCCCAGCCCCTCATTGGTTATTTTCTATATATTTTATACATTATTACTTTTTTCTTGGATCTCTTCTAAAATTAGGATATTAAACATTCTGTTAATAGAACCTAGGATGATTAAATGAAATGATGTCCCAGTAGTCATTTATTTTGTGCCTCCTTTGATTTTTTTTTTTTTTGGGTCCAGTCCTGGGGACTGAATTCTGGGCCTGGGCACTGTCCCTCAGCTCTTCAGCTCAAGGCTAGTGCTCTACCACTTGAGCCACAGCGCCACTTCCGGCTTTTTTCTTTTTGCTTATGTGGTGCTGAAGAATCGAACCCAGAGCCTCAGGCATGCAAGGCAAGTGCTCTACCACTGAGCCACCTTCCCAGCCCCTGTGCCTCCTTTGATAAAGCAAATTATATAAAGAAACAGAACAAAAGTAAATATAAATACAAGTGCCATATTAAAAATAATAGATATCAATTTTTTTTGGGTCCAGTCGTGGGGCCTGAACTCTGGGCCTGGGCACTGTCCCTCAGCTCTTCAGCTCAAGGCTAGCGCTCTACCACTTGAGCCA